AGAAAGAAGAAAAAGAGAGAGAGGGAGAGAGAAACATCAATTAAGAGAGCGAATCATTGATCAGCTACCTCCTGCACACCTCCTACTGGGGATGTGCCCACAACCAAGGTAAATGCTCTTGACCAGAATCAAACCTGGGACCCTTCAGTCCACAGGCTGATGCTCTATCCACTGAGCCAAACCGGTTAGGGCTCTATTGATTTTAGAGAGAGTGGAAGAGAGAGGAAAAGAGAGGGAGAGAGGCAGAGAGAAACACGGATATGGGAGAGACACAAAGATTGGTTGCCTCCCTCACGCACCCTGACGAGGGCTGGGGATTGAGCCTTCAACCCAGATATGTGTCCTAGACAGAGAATTGAACCAAGACCCTCTGGTGTGTGGGCCAAAGCTCTAACCACTTAGCTTTGCTAGCCAGGGTTCTTCTTTAAATAATATTAAAAACAAACAATCAAAAGCTCTCTTTACTTTTCATGCCCCTTTACATAATGCCCTACCATTTTCCTTCCCATTCACACTAATATGTTTTAAAAGAGTTGTTCAGGCCTTGACCAGTGGTAATCTGACTTATTGAATTCATTTGACTTCCCATCTCAGGAAATGGTGCTCTGTTTATCTCGTCACTCATGACACAAATCTTCAGTCTTGAGATCTACTGCCAAATAACTTCCCAAAAAAGTTTGTAGAAGTTTGTGAGGCGAACGTGATAACCACTACACTACGGAAACCGCTAGTTTGTAGAAGTTTGTAAATAATTGATCTTATCAGAGAGCCTCAATTTCATATCAATATTTTAAACATGTACCTCTTTCCATATTAGAAGTTTTACTAGAGATCATGTGACTTGTTTTTAGAGTAGTCAGAACTTCCTCTTTAGAACATCTTTCTTTTTCCTGAATAGACTCTTTTGCATAAAATTATGAATTCCTTTAATCTAATCCCCCTCCCCATTTAAATTTTGCTTTTTTGATGAACAAGAATCATGGATAAGCACAGCAAATATCTGATTTATTTTAAATTGTAAACTACAAGTAAGTAAACACAGTTACTTTATACTAAGCATCCAGACACATACCCAACTACTTCCTCCTATTAGAATTAAATCAAAATAGTAGCTTTCCTTCAAGTTGTTTCTCCTACCTTTTATTTTATTTCTTATTTTTTTAAAATGTACCTTCGCCCTGACCAGTTTGGCTCAGTGGATAGAGTGTCGGCCTGCGGACTCAAGGGTCCCAGGTTCGATTCTGATCAAGGGCATGTACCTTGGTTGCGGGAACATCCCCAGTGGGGGGTGTGCAGGAGGCAGCTGATGGATGTTTCTCTCTCATTGATGTTTCTAGCTCTCTATCCCTCTCCCTTCCTCTCTGTAAAAAATCAATAAAATATATTTTTAAAAAATGTATCTTCATTGTTGAAAGTATTGCAGATATCCCCTCCATTCCTCCACTGACCCCTTCTAGACTACACCTGCCCCTTGCCCCAGGTCTTCACCACACCATTGTCTGTGTCCATGGGTGATGCATATATCTCCTACCTTTTAAAATAAGGAATTGGTAGGAAGGCAAATTAACATTTTGTCAATTTACTTTAAAAATTGAAAAATACATAAATATACTCTACATGAGTAAATATCAAGCTCTCTGAATTTAGAAGACAATCCTCCATTAGCTGACTAAACTAACACCTTGATGCCCCAAATTGTATTACAATGTATCTGCATTAATTTTGCAATCGCTATTAGTAAAATTAATCCATCTTTCTTCTTCAATTTGTGAATGGATTATAGAATTCTTTTAGAAAACTAGAATGCCTTTTTTTTCCTTCTTTTATGGTCAATCAACCCTCATTTCTAGTGTTTCTATCTTCAGGTTTATGTTGCTTTTCCACGCCACTCATTCATTAGAACCATGCAGGGTGGTGGCGTGTGGGCAGTGAGGAAAGGAGGAGGCAGGGAGGCTGGGAACCTGATCAGCCCCGATTGCCAGCCAGGCCTAGGGACCTCACACATGCATGAATTTCATGCACCAGGCCTCTAGTGTGTGTGTGGGGGGGGGGGTATATCCTATCTAATAATAGAGAAACATGGTAATTAATGGTAACTTCGCTACCCTTCCCATTGGCTAATCAGGGTGATATGCAAATTAACTGCCAACTAAGATGGCGGTTAATTTGCATATGTAGGCACAATGCTGGGGTGCAAAAGGGAAAGGACGGAAGAAGCCCCCTGCTACGGATGGTGATCAGAAACCCAGCGGGAACTAAGAGCTGGGGGGCCTTTGCTATCCCGGCCAGTGATAGCGGGAAGCAGGGGTGGAGCCGGCAATGGGAGCTGGGCAGGGGTGGAGCCGGCAGTCCAGGGAGCTAGGGGTTCCTTGCCCAGACCTAAAGCCTTGGCCAAAGACATTAGGCCTGGGTAGAGGTGGAGCCTGCAATCGGGGAGCTGGGGGTCCCCTGCACAGACCTAACGCCTTGGCTAGAGGCATTAGGTCTAGGCATGGGTGGAGTCAGTGATCCTGG